CCCTAACCCTAACATAAACGAACTTCGAAGAATTTTTTGCTGCGCCACAAACCTGGCACACATTCAAGAAAAGCATTTTTAGGGATAGGGGTTAGGGTTAGGGATTAGTTTTAAAGTAAAGTTATAATAAACAAGTATAAGTGGGTTAACAGGTTGAGTAGAAAATGTAGATTTCATTTTAAATTATGATCCGCGACATTTATTATTCATAAACCCGAACTCATTAAAGAATCTACACTATAGTTGTGACCTGAAACCTTTCCGAAACCTTCAAATTAGAATGTTAATAACTAATGGACATTTACTATAAAGTAACAAAGAAATGCAATCTAACTATCATATACTCTAAGTCTCAAAGTTTAAAATTAAATTTCTAAGCCTTTCAGTATAGTGATAAAGTTTCGGAAAAGGTTTCGGGTTTCGGGATTTTATAAATAGTTTCGGGTTTCGGGTCACAGCTTTAATCTACACCCAAATTTTAATTTACGGATGATTAACCCAAGATCGACTATTAACCCCGGATCTCCTACAATTAAAAAGCTTATGCCTACTCAAATTAAACGTTAGCATTAAGTCTAACGTAATAAAGTAGTTTTGGACGAAAATCTTTCCAGTTACCTTCACTCTACAGTATAATTTAGCGTGGTCCAATAAACAGTATATCTTGTCTTCTAAGCAAAGTATACAACGAATAAGATCATTTAGATAATTTTGCACAGTGAATACTGACATTACTTCGAAGTTAGAAATGTCTTTTGTGGTGATTTTTATCAGTGAACGTTACGTTCTCCAAAAGTACTTTAAAAGCGTATAAATAAGTTACCCGGGAACAGAGACGACGATTTTCTGCGGTGATAAATTGATTCGTCCGTGATAACAGATAAATTCTGTTAAAAACTTGAATATTCTGCAACCAAATTATTGCATCTTCGGATTATTTCGTATAGACCACACTCGCCTTTTAGGTTCATGTATTTTTTACGTCGGAATTTTGTCAGTATTTTTGGGATTGTTTACTTATAACCCCTACTTTCCATGATGTTTCCGTGATGTTTCCCTACTTTCTGCTATTTTAAACTTATTCCGTGTTTTTAACGGCATTCCGTGAAATGCAGAAAATCATCGTCCCTGCCCGAGCATCAACCAATCAGACGAATGTCCTTCCATTATGACTTTCTAATCAATTTTGGATTGTTACACAATTATGAGTGATCGTGATGGAATATTTTTTTCCCTACAGGCTAAGCCCAGATGTGATCAGATAAAAAAAATGCGAAAATGAGAAAATGCGAAAATGATAACTTCGAATTATAATAATGGAAGCTTTAAAAAGAGTTTTTCAACAGGCTAAAGAAAAAAGTATTAATCCACATTAGTCTTTAATATATATATTTTTTTGATTTTTTTTTACTTTTATTTAAAAATGTTATATATATTCTTTTATATTCTTTAATATCTTTAAGAAAGACCCGTATTCGTTGCCTTTATAACCTCTGGGTACCCTGACCCCGAAGAGACTGTTGACATTCTTCTTGGCCTTGAAGAAGGCGGGGCTGACATAATTGAATTCGGTAAGGAATTTAAGGAATTTTATGTACGATTTAAGAATGCCATTCAAACGTGTTCTAATACTAATTTCTAATCACAATGATTTAGGTATACCTTTTACGGACCCATTAGCAGACGGACCAGTAATTCAAGAAGCCAACAATGTAACGATTGGATATATTTTATTTCATTCGACAAGTCATATGATCTGTCTCTTAAATCATTTGAATCGTTCTTCTATAGGAGGCACTTAAGCATAATATTGATATAGATCAAAGTTTATCCTTTATCTTTCAAGCTCGTGCTCGTGGTCTTAAAGCACCGGTGCTTTTTATGGGCTATTATAATCCAATGTTAATGTATGGAGAAGAAAAGCTCATAGAAAATTGCAAGAAGAATGGAGTCAATGGTTTCATTGTAGTCGATTTACCACCGGAAGAATCTAAGCATTTGCGCGGGCTTTGCACTCAAAATGGGTATTGTCTATTTTCTCATTTATATTTTTGCTTTTTTTTTCATACGTTATGATTTTTACAATTTTACCTTTTTATCATATATATAGTCTAAGCTATGTGCCTCTTATTGCCCCTTCTACCACAGAGTTGCGCATTCAACAACTCTCAAAAATTTCTGACTCTTTCATTTACGTCGTATCAAGATTGGGAACAACCGGCTTTCGCGCCGAAGTCGATAAAGAGCTACCTGATTTGATTGCCAGGATCCGCAAACACACTGATATTCCTCTTGCGGTTGGTTTTGGTGTTTCCACTAGAGAACATTTTAAAATCATCGCGTCACATGCCGAAGGTGTGGTCATTGGTAGTAAAATCGTTCATGTCTTAAAGACGGCTGGTATATACATTTAACCATCTTAATCTTGTAAGTCGGTTGAAATCGATAAATATTGCCATCAATTAAACCTTGCATTTACGTCTAATGATCTAGAAAAGGGAAAACGTGCTGAAAAAGTAAAGGAATATGCTTCGGAAGTCTGTGGCTTATCTTTTGGACTTAGAGATGAGGGTATGATGTATATTTGACACATTCTATCACATTCTATTACATATGTGGGTTGCTTGCTAATTTTTTTTTTTTTTTTTATAGTCGACCATATGAATGCAAAAGTGGATCAAAATATTCGAAACAATTCTGTAAACATCGACAAAATGGCATCCAATGTAAATATATGTAAATGTATGTACATTAATTTTTTTTTTTGACGGATTTGAAAATCTTAATTTGAGTAATAATTTTTTTAGAAAAGTGTACCATACATCCTTTCCCCACGATTTGGTGAATTTGGAGGTCAATACGTGCCGGAAGCTTTGTTTGATTGCATAATGGAACTTGAAAAAGTATTGTTACGTTTATAAATCAAAAAGCTTATATTTGCAAGTGATAATAATAATTTTATTAATATTTAGGCATTCGTAGAAGCCAAAGAAGATCCTGATTTTTGGAAAGAATATCGATCTTACTACGACTATATGGGTAGAGAGTCAAAACTCCAGTATGCTGATAGGTTAACAGCTGATATTCGTAGGTTAACCGGTGATACTCGTGGTGCAAGGATTTGGCTAAAAAGAGAAGACCTAAATCACACAGGTTCACATAAGATCAATAATGCTATTGGACAAGTTCTTCTTGCTAAACGTATTGGAAAAAAGAGAATTATTGCAGAAACAGGAGCTGGTCAGCATGGTGTAGCGACAGCAACTGTCTGCGCTAAGTTTGGATTAGAATGTGTTATATTTATGGGTAGCGATGATGTTAAAAGGCAAGCGCTAAATGTGTTCAGAATGAGATTATTAGGAGCGACTGTTAAATCCGTGGATTCTGGTTGTTTTTTTTTTATAATTTATGCATAAATGATTAGTATGAATTAATTAATAATCTTTAAAATCTTATTCATAGGCAGTAGAACATTAAAGGATGCTATTAATGAGGCTATGCGTGATTGGGTAACTAATGTTCGAACTACACATTATGTTGTTGGATCCGCAATAGGGCCACATCCGTTTCCAATTATTGTTCGCGAATTCCAATCGGTAATTGGCAAAGAGGCTCGAGAGCAAATGTTAAAGCAAGCCGGTAAATTACCTGATTTGATCGTTGCTTGTGTCGGTGGTGGCAGTAATGCTATTGGAACATTTGCTCCATTTCTTGATGATAAGGACGTCAAGATGGTTGGGGTTGAAGCTGGTGGTAAAGGTAATACTTTTTTAACTTTCAATATATATGCAAAAGAAAAAAAGCTCAAGCATATTATTATCATTTACTTATTATTTATCTATTATGTATTATTTATAGGAATCGATACAGGGCTTCATTCAGCAACCTTGTCTGTTGGTAAACCAGGCGTGTTACACGGAACTCATACTTACTTATTACAAACTGACAAAGGACAAATCAAAGACACAGATAGTATCAGCGCCGGGTTAGATTATCCCGGTGTTGGTCCTGAACATTCTTATTTAAAAGATGATGGCCGTGTTGAATACGTTGCTGTCACTAACAAAGATGCTTTAATTGGATTTAGAAAGATGTCGGAGCTTGAGGGTATTATTCCGGGTAAATAACGGCTAAATAATGTAGAGTTCTCTTAATGCATTCTACCTTTTATTTATACGTTCTTTTAATATATTTAAACAGCTCTTGAAACAAGTCACGCAATCTATGAAGCCATAGAACGTGCATCCAAAATGCGCAAAGATCAGGATATTCTTTTATGTGTTAGTGGCCGTGGAGATAAAGACGTTCGATCTGTTGCGAAAGCATTGCCAGAATATGGTCCTCAGATTGGATGGGATTTACGGATTGGAGATATTTAGTATATATCGATGTACATTTAAAAGTATATACACTATTTTAAAAATCTAAATTAAAAAATTTTATTGGATTCTTTTTATTTTGTTTATCAGAGTGGCACATTGAAAATCTGCTTTCCATGCTTTTTTTATTCGTTCCGTTTGAACACCAGATTGTATTTGTTTTTTATAATTGATTTTGTTTATGGCTGTACAAAGTTAATTATCAGTTTCTCATAACCGGTCGGTTAACTATTGTAAATTTTTGTTATAATAAGGTTTATTTTCAAAAGTAATATTTAAAAATAAATTTGAGAAATGGTCTCCAGACTCAATGCTATGAGAAACGATTAATTAATTCATAATTTTGCGAAGTTTTAATATGGAAAACGACGACCGCTAAAGATGGATATATTTCATTATACATATATATTATAGTTTAGGACTTCTAAAAAATGGATGACGAAAGTAGGCAGGCGTATTTTACAAGATCTGACAATTTAAGTTCGAATGGAGGTACCGTTGGCCACTGCTTACAGTACTCGGGAGCTTATTCAAGAATTTCATTTTTACAATTAGTGTTCGTGGGTACTGTAAAAACCGAATACTATATTTAGATATATCATTAAAAGTAGTAGATCAACATCTTAAACCGGCAGGGATGATGAATCGTACCGGGTCTTAATAATGGGGGATATATTTTAGAGAATATAATAAGCGGTCAACGGTATATGCTAGTACAGTTTCCCATGAAGATTGAAGGTCCGATAAGATTATCAACACAGATTAAATCAGGTTATCATATTACAAGATAACCTTGATCGACATTACAAATTTGTCTAATCGTAATAATGACTCTCTTAATAAATTTAGAAATTAATGCAAAGCCAATAATTGGTTTAAAGAGTGTAGATATTCATTTAAATCTTTCACATGTTTAATTCGCTCAATGCCTCACCTTATACGGTCAGTGTAATCCATAAACGCCTATTTCATTATAATGCTTATAATATACCAATGAAAATATAAATTTGAACCTCGCTCTTTATCATAATACATAAATGTATAGCATAATACGATCTCAAAAATATATTCTCTGTATAAAAACATTTAATTGCATTTGTTACCTCATCTCACAAATCCTACCAATATCAAGCTTCATCGGAAAACATCAGTATTTCTAAAACTAGAATTATCTTTCAATGCATCATTATGCGTCTTATACTCCATAATCGTCTCGCTTGGCAAATTCAAAACACGTTTCATTGTGTCCCTAACAGAATCATTATAATTGAGATTATTGTGAAATTTTTAAAATCTTATTAGAGAAGGTTTAAAACACTACCGTATTTTTAAATTAATTCTTCCTTCATGTGCCGACTGATTCCACAGGGACAGGATGTCCTCCGAACTGCGGATAGACAGCACCGCTCCACAAATCTCCGTACCCACATCAAATTGATCACCAATGACTGCCATCACCTTTCACGAAAAAATTAAATTATAATCAATCGTTATTAATTAGGGGTTTTTTTTTAATTCAAAAAGAAAAAAAAACAACTCACCAAACTCTCCCAATATCGACTAGCAAGCCCTTTCTTTAACCTCACGATCCACTTACCTCCATTAATATTAGTGTCGTCCTTTTTTTTTTTTTTAAAGTATATGTAGTGAAAATATTTAATTTGAATTTTATATATATATTTAATTTGAAATGTTGCTTTAAAAAAAGGATATAATCATATTTACAAACCTCCCATACTGGTCTAACACCTTGTTTAAAAAGGTGGTAGTCACTAATATTAGGTAATTCGTGAGGTCTTCGAAGATGGCTATAAACAGCCCAAAAATCCTCTATCTAAATTTGAGCACATGGAACATTATTATTTGATGTGAAAATGATACATGCTGCAAAAACTATTTCGGCATTGAATTTTGATATGAAACTGCTGAGTTACCAAAGCAGTTTCATATTAAAAATCAATGTCGAAATAGTTTTTGTGGCTAGTGAAAATAATTAATAAAATTGTCGAATATAAATATTTACCGAAGAAAAGGCAGCGATTTTTTTCATTGAACTTTCATAATTTAATATCTTACTACCAGGGCTTCGGTGCATGAACCAAAATACCCACGTAAAATGCAATGGATGAATTTCACTTGTGGGGCTTGGTGTGAATTGCTGACGCGTCAACCCAATTACCAAACCATTACTACTATTCCCATTTTCTTTCTCTTTATGATCTTTATCCTCACCTCCACCACTTGTGACGCTCAAACGGTGTTTAGCAAGATATCCGCCTCCGCTACTACTATTCATTAGTCCTGAGCCCATTCCAAGGGGCGTCGTCGGTGTTAGAAGAACAGCAGACGCACTAGTAACTCCATTTGGCGAACTTGTACGTTGAAGTTGAATAAGTTTTGTCGACGATGTAGTTGTTGGAGTTGTCGCCGTTGCAGTCGTAGTCGTTGTTGTGGTATTACTATGGTCGGTGTTGACGGTTAAACGGTTACTGTGATAAATGAATAATCAATAGTGTGAATACAACTGAATAAGGATTTACCCTGTAATCCGTAACTAGTCCGTCTTTTTTTTTTTTTGCCCTTTTTTTTTGGCTCTTTTTATTTGATCAATTTTAAAGCTGTGAAATAATAATAAAACTGTCCTAAATTCTACCTTCTACTTTTCCAGACAGATTCCATTTCTTCTGACTAAGTTGTAAAAATTCCTTATGTTCAGATGTCTTATTTAAAGTTGACCAAATCTGAAAAACCGAATAAATTATGTGTATTTAAAGGTTGTTTAAAAGAAAAAAAAAGATTTTCGAAAATCAAATATAGACGAATTCCTCTCACTACATGATGAGGCCTTGTCCTCCCACATCCAAATACTACGTAGATGGTGGCGATTATTGGTTGGATGTTGTTGATCAAACTTCGCGTCATGATCAATTACACTAACTTCCTGTAATGCGTACAAAAAAAAAATACCAGCTTTACAATTTATAATTGAGATTTTTGTGCATGTACATATGTAAACAAAATTTATTACGTATTTAAATTATAACAGATAACGTTGAAATTAAATTCGCCAATTCGCCAATAAAGTATGTGCGTATATATTAAAAAAAAATATATAGTTTTTGAATGCTAAAATAATTTTTGATATTAATAAAACAGATTGATAATATACGTACGTACGTACGTACATATGTATATAGTACAGTAATGTATTTTCAAAATTAAATATTAGATACGTATAAATACAGCAAAAAAAATATAAATATTATTTATGTATGTATTAAATATAATTAAAAAAATATCTGATATGTATCGGTATAATTTAATTAGGATATTGCTCTTAGTTAACATAACCACCCTCTTATTATAACTCAAATACGGCTTGAATAACCATGTTTGATACACTAAGTAAAATGTTTAGCATTATGAAAAGCCGTATTCCGGTCTTGACTCTAATCTTAATTTTAACTCTATTGTTTCATATTGTTTCTAATTTTAATATTAAAATTTGAGTACGGTTAAAATTTATAATTTTAATCCAGGGTTACAATTAGTTAAATTCTTTAAAATAATCAAAATAAAATTCTAAAAATTTTTATTGCTAAGTTAAACCTACATAATTGTAGTATATTAAGATACTCTGGTGAAATTAAATTTTATTTTTATTATTTTAGTTTAATTTACGTATTAGCATTTGTTTTTAATGCTTAGCAAAGTATGCTTTCTGATAATCTTCTGGTCAACAACTCCAAAAAATCGAACGGCACTTTATCAAATTTTTTTGCAAATACAAGTTTGATAAGAGTATATTTGATTATATATGCAACTTTAGTTGCTTATTTAAGGTTTCACTATATTTGTAATTTTCTATTACTTGCTATATACTGTATATCTAAAAGCTGGTTATAGATTTTTTATTTAAACTTTCTAATCTTCTTTATATTATTTGTTTAAATTTAATCTTTAAGCTTAGTTCTTTTTAGATATTTATATTGATTTAAAAGTATTTTGCAAATATTAGTATTATTTTTTTTTAAAAAGTGAGGTTTTACTTAAATATATAATCTTCCAGATAATTTTTTGAGTCAAATCCCAATTAAAATTTTTACAAGAGTAAAATTCAGACTATAAATAGGTACAATTATAACTATACTATCTAATTTATCTGCAATCTAAACCTACTAAAGTGATTAAAACTTAATTAAATTTGGTATAATAATATATTATTTGTTGGGGTATTGTATTTAATTTATTGAACTAACTATAGAGATATCTTTTTAATAGCTTTGTCAAAAAATAGACATCTAGCAGTTTATATATACAACTGTATATACAGTATAAAGTAAATTTTAATATTATTGTTATAAATCAGTTTTATTTTATTAGTTATTATTTTATCTTATTATTATTTTATTATTTCAATATTTGTATTTTATTAGTTATTAGTTATTATATATTTATCTTAAAATAGAATTTAAAAGATATATATAACAATTAGCCTTAAGGCTTAACATTTAGCAATTAATAATTAGCAATTATGCTTAACTATTAGCAATTATACTTAGTGATTAGTGATTATGCTTAGTGATTAATGATTATATTTAGCAATTACAATTAGTGATTAATGTTTAATGTTAAATAATTAGTGATTACAATTAATGTTTAGTATTAAGGAAACTATACTTAACTGTAATAATTAACAATTAGCTCTAAAGATATAAAAAAGCTATAAATTTCTTCAAGTAAACACTAGACTTGTTTACTATCCAAATAGATACAGACTCCTCTTTTTCTTTAAATTCTCTTTTATAATATTATAGAATTCTTTAGAAATAGAAATTTAAAGATAGTCTATCTTATTTATCTTAATAAATATATATTTTATTTATAAACTATTATTTGTCCAAACTGTTATAGAGAGAAAAGTATAGTTTCTAATTGAAATAGAAATTATACTTCCCTCTTAGACATTATTATAAACCTGTATAAAATCCCTATAGCTG